GTGGATGGATGGATGGATGGGTGGGTGGATGGATGGGTGGATGGATGGATGGATGGGTGGGTGGATGGACGGGTGGATGGGTGGATGGATGGGTGGATGGGTGGATGGACGCTCAGTTGGTCGGATGTTCTGTCCAAACTGACCTTCATGTTTTCATCCACCTCTGCGGTTCTGAACTGGGTCGTTCCTGCGGTTCTGCTCCCCCAGCCGGATATCGGAGCTGACCGAGCAGCTGCAGGCCGTTCAGGAAAAAGGTCGGCTGGAGAAGCAGGCGCTGCTGGACCGGCTGCAGGCGGTGACAGAGCAGAAAGCCTCTGGCCAGCTGGAGACCAAGAAGCTGAAGGTGGGATCGGATCAGAACCTTCTCCTGCCATCCGGGTCCGGCGGACGCTGAGCTGTGTGTTTGTCCAGGCTGCCGTGTCGGCGGCGGAGGAGAAGCTGAGCCGCACTGAGGCGGAGCTGCAGCAGGTCAGAACCTCCATGAAGCAGTGTGAGGTTCTGCTGGACAACTACAAGATCCAGGTACTGGACCCGGCCAGAACTCTGTCACAATAACCAGTTAACCAGTTAACCAGTTAACTAACTCCAGGCTGGTTTGTGTAGTTTGTTCTTAAAGAGACAGTGCGCTCTAATGCCATTATAAAACCATTTGACACAAAGATTTTATTTTTTAAAACTCCTCACTGGCTGTTTGTTCAGTTTTTCCTGTTTGAGTGTAAAGATGAATTTTAATAATCCATTTTATTTATTGCTTTTTTAGATATTTGGGATATTTAAAATGTCTTCTTCCAGTTCAGTGTTCTTTGTAAATTAGAGTTTTGACAGATTGAACTTTCGTTATTATTTCATTATGGTTGATCACCTTCCTTTCTGGACCAGTACCTGGATTTATGGAGACAGAAAGCAGAACCAGGCGCTCAGCTTGCTGCTCCGCTCTGCAGGTGGGGAACACGCGGGCCGAGGCGGAGCAGGCCCGGGCCCAGGTGGCGCAGGCGGAGCGGGACGCCCAGGCCGTCCGGGTGGAGCTGGAGAGGGAGAAGGAGCAGATCCGGCGGGAGCTGCAGGGCCGGCTGTCGGAGCTGGAGGTTCTGCCGGAGGCTCTGCGGCGCTGCCAGCTGCAGCTGCAGGAGGCGCAGGATGAGGAGCGCAGCCGCGAGAGGCGCAACCTCGAGCTGAGCGGCAACCTGACGGACCTGCGGCTGAAGGTTCTGCTCTCTGACCCGTCAGAACCCCCAGGGGTTTGCTGCAGTTCCTCACAGTGTGTTTCTGTCAGGTGGACACCCAGGCGCGCCAAACGGACCTGCTCCGGCAGAAGAACCAGCTGCTGATGGAGGAGAACCGGCAGCTCCAGCTGAAGGTGGAGTCTCTGGACAGGTGAGTGGAGGAAAAGCCTCCAGCTGTGCTCCTGCTGCAGCTCTGACTGCTCCCCCTGCTGGCCGACAGGAAGCTGAGCGACGTCTCCAACCAGAACTCGGACCTTCTGACCGTCATCTCCAAACGGGAGAAGACCATCCGCACCAATCAGCTCTCCCTGGAAGAAAAGACCAGAGAGTGTTCGCTGCTGAGCCGGAGGCTGGAGGAGGCTGTGAACGACGCGCGCCAGCAGGTGAGGCCCACTAGGGGGCGCCGTCTTGAAACTTACTCAGAAATTAACATTTAACCAAGAGAAAAAAATACCATGTCATTTTTTGCAGTCACTTTATCACCATGTTGTTCATTCATAAATGTTGTACTCTCAAGCTTAATATTTTGTTACAATGCTAAATATGTAGCTTCAGGCTAGGTATTTATTTATCAGCCTAGTTAGCAAGCAAAATATTTAGTTAGCAGCTTAGTTAAATATTGCTAACTAAATATTTAGCTTGTTGTTTAGTTAAGATAAATATTTCTCTTGCTTACTGACTACATATTTGCTTTGAATATTTAGTTTGAAGCTAAATATTTAGTTAAAAAGCTAAATAGTTCTTTTGTTAATTAGCTTTCTAACTAAATATTTAATCTAGCTGAAATGTTTTCCAACTGTAAATCATCTTCCTGTCTTTAAAACGATCTGAGCTCAGAGGTAGACTCACTTCTCTGGTGTCGTGTCTCCAGATCTCAGAGACCAGAGAACGTGCAGCCAACAAGGAGCGCTCCACCCAGACCACCATCATGGACCTGGAGGAGCAGCTGAGCCGGACCGCCGCGGAGCTGGAGCTGCTGGGCCGCAACATAGAGGAGGTGAGTTCCTGCTGCCAGACTGGCTACTTCCTGTTCCTGTAGCATGTCGCTAACCTGTAATTGGTCCTGTAGCGTGTCGCTAACCTGTGATTGGTCCAGTAGCGTGTTGATTGGTCC